AATAAAATTATATTATTTTAGTAAGAAGTTCATCAAGTTTTAGTCCGAATGATAAAATTCATTGACGTACACCAAGCGAAGGAACACAATTAGATCGTCCTGGAGCACCATCACTTCTTATATCAACTTCACCAACAGTTCAACCACGACAAAAACTTTCCTTTCCATTATTAAAAACAAATAATGAACAAAAATTTTCGACGACAATTGAAGATAAAACAATTGAACATGAATCAACAACAGATTTGTCAACAGATTCAACATCAACGACAAATGATGGTGTTAATGTTGGAAAATCAAATAATAATCGAATATCTTCTTTTAGGAATAGCACATTACCTTCACCTGGGATACAACTGATTTCTAGTCTTTTATCATCCGGTGCTTATTTTATTATTATCAGTGACTTATTTAAACTAATTTCATTAATTATTATCTTTTCTTTTCATTTTATTTCGTTTTTTTTTTCTTCTATTTGATCGATTCTCTTCTATACATATATATATATATAAATCAATACATTTCTACTGTTTATAATCAAATGAAACAAACGATTCACAGCTTTTTTTTTTTAATTTAAATCATCAGTAATAATTGTTCTTTTAATGATAAAATTTGTCATTATTATAAGATATGATCATCATTGAACATGTTTAGACTCAATCAATAATTTAAATATTCTTCTTGTCGAATTGATTCTTTTTCATAGATCAATATTTTAATTGAATATTTCACTTTTTAAACATTTTTCAAGGGGTAAACAGCAGACTTGGAGTAGAAACGTACGTCAAAGTAACTTCTAGTTCAAAAGTCTGCCGTCTCTTTCTTGACATTTGTATTTAGAATTTTTTCTTTTAATTATTTATTTTTATCAATATTTCAAGGTTATTTTAAACAAGTTTAATTTTTACTTTCGAAAAGATTGTCTCTTACTTTTACATAAATTTATTTTCTACTGTAAAACATATTTAAAAATCAGTCTTATTCTCACAGAATCAACATGTATTATGATCGAAACTTGAAAAAAGAGAACGAGAATCGATACATCTTCAATAATATTCAGAAGAGATGCAGGAAAACTTATCGTATCCTACTGGAAAGTACCACTACCTG